GGAGGAGGTTTGACCAATCAACTCTTGAGTGGCTTTGAGTATTGAGACCTTTGTGAGCATGTTTTGAAGAAAATGGAAGGGAAAATTTTGGGGTATAACAATTTCTGTCACGGGCGCCGAAGTTATCCTCTAGGTGAGGATGTTCTTGCTTTTCTTCAATTTTGCATGTCGGGGTAAGCACAATCTTTCTAGATCATAGGCGATCATCATGGTCGACCATGATTGATGAATGAGGAGGATCTTTGGTCTTCAGATTTTAGGGAACGGAAAACAAGGAAGATAGCTTCCCACAAATGGCGCCACTGATCTTAGTAAGTGTGGGAGTCAAGAGATACAAGCAGAATATTAAGGTTTCAGAGATGAATAGTGAATACCTAGCCCTCACAAGTGTGAGGATTTATATAATACCCATGATGCGTATCTATTAGTTCCCATTTTTGGGCCTAGATATTTGGGTCCGTGAATATAGGAACTGATAGGACTTGATCAAACCGGGCATATGTGCCTGTAACTAGTTGTTAGTTCCGAGGATGAGGTAGATTACGAGCAACGATCTGGTCGGATCCTGGTTGTATGGTTGACTTGATGTCGGGCAGACAAAGAAGTGTCCATCGGACGTTGTTGGTCTCGCTAGTCTGGAAGAGCCATAAATCGGTGGTGCCCAACGGAGATCAGGGGATTTCAGGCCATGGTCAAATGAGACGTTCTAAAGGAAGCATAGATTGGGCCCACTCAAGCCGTTGGGCCAATCCATAACAAAACCCAACAAACTTTCTCCAACCTCTGGGTAGACAACCTTTATTTGGTAATCTTTACTCCAATTTCCCCCAATTCGAGCATACCATATTTTTTCATAAATTTCAGCTGCCTTTCAATCATGGATTATGCTGCATCTGCGACACATTAGCCCCTCAAAATTATTTTTGTGGCAGCGAACCAGGTAGTCTAGTAGACTTTCTCTAGCCTTCGGGTAGCCATTCCTCATCTGATCATCTTCCATTTTGAGGCACCTTTCGACTTCCTCCGTCTTAGGAGCATGTTGGTTCAGGTCCACCATATTAACTTCAAGGCTAGGACCTTTAGTAATCCCTGACCTTTTCAAACTTGACTCTAAGGCCTTTAATGGCCTTTGTCATTCTAGCACTTGTGGTAATATCATCATCAATCTTGCCTTTGATATGTTGGTTAATCAAACCTTCAGTAGTCTTTTGCACTTCAATACCTGTAACAAAATCCTCAGTAATCTTGTTCAAGGTATTGGGAAGGCCTTCAGCAGTCTCCTTTGTTTCGATATTTGCAACAAAATCTTCAAAGATCTTGTCTCTAGGGTGTTGGTTAATGTCGACACCAACAACTTCCAACATATGGATATTCGTAGGCTCGACATAATTGGTTTCTGCTACGTGGAGAGGGTCAGCATCAACCTTCATTTATCCTTTGTTCTTTTCGCAAAAATTCAATCTCCCTTCCTTGACAGCATTCTGAATCAAATCCCTGAAAAGAAAACATTTGAGGTTTTATGTCTTAAAAAGTTATGATATTTACAAAAACCTCTTTTCTTCTGTTGGTCTAACAAATGAGTTTTGACACCAGGTGGCACTATCATCTGGCCACCTTTACCAACAAATCAAATATTTCATCACATTTTGTAACGTCTAAAGTGTATCTTTTCTTAGGGAACTTGTCGTTCTTTTCTGGTTCTGCAGGATTCTTCCAATTCGAAGGGGTTAGAACTTTGCAAGGATATGGTGGGCCTTGCTTTAATTCAGCCAAGTCCACTTCACATTCTTCGAAATCTGAAAAATAACTACAGGCTTCTTGTTCGTCTATATCGGTTTCAACATATGCAACTCTTTCTTTTCTATGGCTTTTGTTCGGTCTAGCTTTTTTGACTTTTAAGCGTTCCAATTGTTGAACTATGTCTGCCAATTGGGTCATATATCTTAAATAGTGAGGATCCAACTTCTTCCTAATGGAGAAACCTAATCCTCTCATAGCCATCTCAACTAACTCGTGCTCAGGCACTTGAGTAAAACATCTTGCCTTTAACAGGCGGAATCTGTTGAGGTAATCATCAAGTGGTTTGCTAAACTTGTGTTTAGTGATGGCCAATTCACTTAGGCCTGTCTTTGATTGACCTACATAAAATTGTTCACGAAACAACCTTTCTAAACGAGTCCAATCTTGGATAGAAATTTCCGCAAGGATAGTGAACCATGTGAAAGCATTTTTGGTTAGTGAACTAAAATATTTTATCCTTAAATTTTCATTATTCGCTATATCCCCAGCCTCGGTAAGGTACCTGGCTATATGTTCGACAATTGATTCGCTGGTGTCACTAGAGAATTTTGTGAACTTTGGGACTTTCCAACCCCTGGGCAATTTAGTTTCCAAAATATATTCAGATAAAGGAGAAGTGTAATTTGACCTACGAAGGCCAATATTTACACCATTTCGTGTCATAATTCTCTCGATCATGGTTGTCAGATTGTTGTCTGCTGCCATGTTGTCTTGTCGAACTTGATATATGACTTCATCAACATTTAGATTTCTATTTACCATCACAACCCTAGGTTCTGGTTGCCTTAGAATTTGTGGTTCCTTCCTAAAAGTTTTGGCTCTAGGTATTTCAACATTTGCAACTCTAGGCACTTCGACTACCCCTCCTTGGTTTACTACATTCGCCTGGGGTGCATTTCTTTGATTCTGTTGAACTTGGTTAATTGTTGGGTCTTCTTCAAATACTACCCTTGATTTTCCCTAACCCACTCCCTTTGATGATGCGATGGGGGTTGAGGCACACCAAAGAAGTCAGCGATGCACGTCATTTGCGCAACCATTTATTGGTTCGCTTGAGTGGTGTTTTGAATCAAAGGGTTAAAGATTATACCCATTGTTTGTTCAAGAATTTGGATCATTTCATGGTTACTCTCGTCCATTTATTGTCTAATCACCGTTGTAGAGTGATTTGTTAAATTTGGTATTTGGGAAAAAACGAATATGGCATGCCATAAGGCTACTCATGACCATTTGGAGGCATGGAAAAACCAAATGGCCCCTGAGGCCTATGGAAAGTATTTCCCCCTAGAGAGGGGGTCCCTTGTGGACCCTGTTGTCATATATATGTCAAAATAGGGCCAGTATAAGCGTTTGACTGCATTGGCATCGAACTTGTTGAAGACAGAATAACCTCTGTTCCTTGGTTCGAAGGCATAGCTTCGGCTGTACTGGAAATAACTGTGCCTTCCCCTGTCGAAGGGGGAACTTTTTCTGCATTGTTATTGGGTCGGTTAACCATTCTCCTATTGTACTTCCTTTTTTGTATAAGTTCGTTAGTATTGGCTAATTTTCTACTCCTCAATCTCATGCAACAATGTTAACAAACAAGTTATCAAAATAATAGATAAAAATGAAAGAAATTCTAACAAACACTAGACACAGGTCCCACTGGGCAATGCCAATTTGTTTACCTTGAAATTTGGTAAGCAACCGCTGGTATTCCAAATCGAAGAAAAGATTGGTGACTTACAGGACCGACCAGATTGATCCTAAGGACACATGTTTAGTTCTATTTCTTATCTTTCTGTTTATCAATCTATTCAATATAATCGTTATTTCGAAGGTAGTAATGTAACGCTTTAAAGAAAAGACTGGTATGTAAAAGGCTTTTGATTTAAACTTAAAAGAAATGTATAAAACTTTAATTGAAAACGAATGTCAATAAACATAAAACTGGTGCATCATACGTACATTCTCACAACTCGTTTCTTGAACAATGGCACTTTGAGTAATTTAGAGTAATTTATACAAAGACGTGAACACACTGAATCCTAACGCTAAGATCCTAATTTATACTGATTCGACCATAACGGTCTCCTTGTAAGATATTGCCACGTTCGATGTTTGCATGTGCTTTCAAACCTTATGCTTCCATGCGTCCTTTTTGGATAAGGATGCACATTGGATTTCAAATCTTTCTCTATTTCGAAGCCTCAAATCTGCCCAATGTGTCATAACAAGCTGATTTTTTGAAAATCAAACCTCCAAACCCTTATACATCGAATTATTTCAACAAGTTTGGACTATCCATAATCTTGATCAGTCAAACCTTATAAAGAAAATATCTTTATTTCTCTAATTCAACTATCGTCGAAATTCCAGCTAACACACGAATCATAAATACAACTACTATCCCAAACGTAAATGCATTTCTGATTCCTATCTACGTGTTAGCTTGGATTTCTCAGTTTTAACACTTGTGTGTATATGAGATGCATTCTGAAATACAATTACGATTTCATCCATAGTTGTATTTTCGATTAGTTTTCAACTATCACATAAAGTCTCATCCATCAAAATTCAAATATCGGTGCGTATCGAAAATAGATTTTCAATTTCTAAGAATATTTTTGTATTTTCGCATGGTGCGTTAGAAAATTATGCGTGGGTTAAGAAATCCCTGCATATATTACCATCTTGTTATCCAAAAAGTTTTATTTTTACTATTACATTACATTATAACACAAGAGAAAAGAGATAATGCACTCACTGTAAATTAATTTTACACTGTTAATCAATCACAATCTTATATCAAAATAAATTACACTTTAATTTTAAATTTTTTTAATAATAAAATACATTATTGACTTTCTATTAAATGGCCGTATAAAATGATTTTAGATTTTAATTACCTATAAATTAAACCCATAACAGATTAGTCGCCACCTCGAAAAAGATAATAAACAAAATCATATAAAAAAAATGTTAGAAAGTTTTTAATCCTTATCCTTTATTATTCTTGAAAAATATTTTCGGCGACGAATTATCCATCCCAAATGTTTTTTTGACAGTGTAGATCGCAGCCTCATGTTTCTCAACTCGTCGCTCCATTTCGTTACACTACCAATCAGCCACAAAACTAACAAACTTTCATATTTGTAACATTTTCTCAAAATTTTCTCTAATTATATTCTCTCTCTCACACACACACACCTCACCACATGGCTTCCATTTCGAGTATCTCTCCTCCGAACCTCCCTTTCCCGAAGCAAAACCTCTCCGTTACCTTCCCTCTCAAACGACCCTCACTCCTCCACTTCCCTTCCCAACCCTTGTGCCTCTGTCTCAACTCCGTCTCCGACGACAACCACAACAATACAAACAATAACGACCGCCGATGGGATTCGATGCTCCACGAATTCGTCACCGGCGCTATGAAGCAATTCGAATCGTACATAAACGCGCTCAGGAAAGGTAGTGCTGCCGGTGAAGACAAAGGTGATGTTAACGATGAAGGATGGGATTGGAATCGGTGGCGGCAGCATTTCGACGAGGTTGACGACCAGGAACGTATTGTCATCATCCTCAAGGTTTTGCCCTCGCTTCATTCCTGTGATTTCATTTTGGTTTTTGTGCTTATCGTGAATCAATCGATGTTAATTTTTGTTGAATGTTGAATGATTTGATTTCTTTCTGATTTATGATGAATTCTAACGCGCTGAAACTCCTGCTCAAAATCCAAAACATACACTCTAGCATCTCTTACTCATTTATTTATCTAAAGTTTTGATAATTCTGTTGATTAATTGACTTAACATTCTTCGATATCAAAGTCTTTGCCAAATCAAACGTGTTCTTAAAATCAATCGAGTACTTAATTGCTTTGTAAATAACTTGTTAGCAGTTCACTTTGGTTTGGTAATGACTAATGACTTAAAGTTATCAAAATCAGAAACAGTTTTCTTTCAGTTAACACGAAACAACAGTAAGTCTTGTAAATGACATTAGGCTTGAAAGGAGTTTTTGTCAATTTTTTAATGGTGAGCTCAGTTCTTGATGTTTTATGTCAATGCGGATTCTCATGCCATACTTAAGTAGGATTTCTTTGAACCTGTTTATAGTTTAAATCATTGCTTGGCCTTTTTTGTGCTCAACAGTCGCAGTTACGTCATGCTGTATACGTGGAGGATTATGAAGAAGCTTCTAGGCTTCAGGTGGCGATTGCAGCCGCATCTAACAATGACAGTGTTGGAAAAGTGATATCTCTTCTTAAAGTAGGGATTTTGACAAATGGATGTTATACTGTTAGCTGATTTTTGTGCTTTCCTTTTTCACTATACTGTGTATAATTTAAATATGTATGTATATTTTCTAATCTTGCAGAGAGCCATAAAAGAAGAGCGGTACAGCGATGCAGCTTTTTTAAGAGATAAAGCTGGTGCTGGACTTGTGAGTTCTTACTTCCTATATAGAATTTATTTCGTGACAACTTGCATGAATGTCTTTGGATTGCGGGGCAATTAGAATGTCAGATGCAATGCAATGTCATAGGGTGCCTCTAGTAATACATATTAGTGCTTAAATTGCTGTTACTTGGGTTGAAAATTTGTTTTTGACATCAAGGCAACACTTTCCTCACCACTTCATTTATGAAACCAATAACTAATTTGTTAGGTGTTTTTGTTGACTAAATTTATTCTCGGAGCTTGCAAATAAGCCATGAAACCTAATGACTGTCAATATTATGAGAGCCAGATAACGAATAATAATCCATTTATGAAAAACATTTAGTTTGCTTATTATCACGATTTCAAATTTTAAGGTGCATTTGTTTTTTCACTTTGATTTCAAACATGATTCCATTTCTTGTAAATATGTATTGGTTGATTGTATCCCTAATTTTCTATTAAATAGATTAATGCTGTGGGGTGACATTTTAGTGTTGTATGCTAAGCTAATAATTTGCACCATTTCTAACATCTGTTTTTGATTTATATTTAGAATTTGTAATATTGTTATGTCTCTTGAACTGATCCATAAAAATCATTAAAACTTACCCATATTAATTGGCTCTTACAGGTGGGTTGGTGGGCTGGTATTTCAAAAGATGTAAATGATCCACATGGTTTAATTGTTCGCATAACCCCAGAGCATGGAAGATATGTGGCAAGGAGTTATAGTCCTAGGTAATTTTTATATCATGATAATAAAAAACATGTAAGGTAATTAGCCTCTTAAAATAAAAAACTTATTCTGATATTGGTGATGTGCTGCCACTTCAGCACTATACTGGGGAGGAATGGGTTATGTGAAAAATGTCTAAAATGTTGGTGTTAGAGTTCCACTATCTATGATATGCAGCCATAATCATTTTTCTTAGATTGTCAACTTTTCCAAGTTTTGCCCAACCTCAACCTGAAACTAAAACCCATAAAACATTGGTCATTTTTCTGGATGGATGAGGTGTTCAAGAATAATTTTATCATTTTTGTGTTTTATCTATTCTGATAGAGTAGCTAGTCTGTAGAGCACGTGTCTTGGCTTTTGTTTCTGTTAAGTCTTTAATGTTTAGGTGTATTGGAATTTAGGATTATGGTCTAACTGCATATATACATTATAATAGATTCAGACTCTCCAACTCTATATACTTTAAAACACAATTATTGATTCAGTTCTAGAATATTCAATTTAACTCAAAAAACAGTTGTATCATAATTTTGTCATGTTCTCTCCCTTTCTTTTAACCATTGAAATTTAGGACTTAGCACATTTCTTAATCCCAAAGTAGCTCTATGCTGCTTTATAAAGTTGTTGTAATAAGCTCATTTAAACATGGTCATAATTACAAGCGCTACTTGTAGTTGGTTATTGAAGAGGACCTTATCATATATGCTGATACACTTGTAACTTTAGTTTCTCTGTGTTTAAACAAGATGATAGTTATTATTTACTAGTTAGATTTGGCCTTTGTGCATGTACATTTACAAGACCAGGTGTAGTGCAAAACCGTAGTGATACTGAGATGATATAGTCATAGCTATGCATCTTTTGTCTAATTCTGTTGGAATTCTCAATGTTACTCATGATTTTCTTGGAATCCTTGTGAAACATTCTGTTATTTGATTGAATACTTATTACAACTAAATTACAGATCTTCTCTGATGATCTGTTATAGCAGGTTAAATCTTGGGACTGACTGACACATGTCAGTCAGTTTGTTAGGTTATTTACAACTGTTTCAGATAGTTAGTGCAGTCGGTTACAAGGCTGATCTTAATGTACATAGTTGGTTTTTGCATCATATTAGAAGTTAGACTTGGGATTCTATGAATCTCTCAAATTTTGTTTTCATTGAATGAATAGTTGGTTACAAAATCAGTTTCATCAATTTGAAGAAGTGTTGATTGGTTGTCACCAAAAAAACGGGATTGACAGAAAATTGAACTCACCGAGAAAAGTTTGAACCCGGATTGGCTTAACAATGACATGAAGAAGGCTCTCCTGTACTAAGCTTCTATACTGGATCTTGCAACAACAGGTCGCTTCTTAGACCACCATGAAATGAGATTAGGACCAAAGTAAAAAGTAGCACCTAGTGTGCTTCTTCTGTCATCATGGTCAGTTGCCTAGTCAACACTAAAGGCTTTGACTGAAGGAGCTTGAAGAGTTGGTGCATGATAGAGGTGTAGTACATGATCAAGAGTGCTTTTGAGACATCGAAAGATCCTTTTGACAACAATCCAATGGGATTCCAGGGACTAGACATGAACTGACATACTTTACTAACAAAGAAGGACATCTGATGTTTTGTTATAGTAGTTTATTGGAGATCACCAACCACTGAACGATAAACGAAGGGATCATCAAAGGAAATATGACCAAGTTTGCTGAGTTTGCAAGTGGATTGCATAGGAGTGGAGACATGGTTTACTCAAGTATATTGGTCCTGGTGAGTTAAACCCACGAGGTTGTTGCATATAAACCTCTTCATAAGCAAGCCATTAAGAAATGCATTGTTGACATCCAGTTGTTGAATGGACCAGTGATGAGTGATAACAAGTGTAAGAATCGGTCTGATGGTAACAAGTTTAAGTGAAATCCAACCTCTGCATTTGATACCCTTGGGCCACTAGCCTCGCTTTGTGTCTATTAACACTGCCATATGCATTTTCTTTTATTAGAAAAGAAGATGGGATGAAGAATTCAGTATCTAGAATATTCTAGAGTAGAGAGAAAGGAAATTTTTTGTTATGATTGGTTAGAAGATGATAACCTTGTTACCGTTGTTATCAAATAGCGGCGCCATGGCCGCTATGGTGGATATACATGGCGGTTTTTGGGCTCGCCACCATGGTAAATATCAACTAATATTGTGTTTTTTTTTTTACCATAATCTGCTATAACGCCGCCGCAAAGTGGCCGATATGGCGGGTTTTTGGCTCTCCGCCATGGACCGCCATCCACCATCGACAACACTGCTTGTTACAAAGAATAGCTAACGACCATTTATAGGGGCTTGTAACTAATGTGAATTAGTTACAACTATGGTGACTCAGCATAGAGTTTGTCATAACAAGCTAAATTCTAACTCGATTTGTATGTTTAACAAAACAATTACACATTTAAGTACCGTTAAATATGCTTGGATCTCAACTCGAAAAGCTAGCCCAAAGGATGAGGTTGCCCTCACATATTTATATATTCAACAGCTCGGGAACTTAAGTAATGTGAGACTTCAAACAAACTCCAACAACACAAATACCAACTTCAACACCCACCCTCACGCCTAGCGTGGACATGAGTCAAATGCTCTCATTGCAGTCCTTAACCCAACTCTTATGTTAAATATGCTCGGATCTCAACCCGAAAAGCTAGCTCACAGGGTGAGGTTGCCCTCACATATTTATACATTCAACAGTCCGGAAACCTAAGCAATGTGAGACTTCAAACAAACTCCAACAACACAAATACCAACTTCAACAAGTACTAATGCAAAGATTGCATTGAGACTGCAAGTTAAGTGATGTGCAATTACTCTAGAGTAGATAAACTGTAGAAAGGGTTGCTAGGAAGTAATATGATGATTTATTCTATCATCTTAGTCATATTTAAGTTTGTTGAATGACAAAATTGTGATGAATTGTTTCCTTATTCAGTTAGGTTTGGTAATCCATTATTAGATATTAATTAGTGCTTTGTCTACTGTCATAACATCCAACATATCATTCACATCAGTTTAATTTTATTATTGATATTGATATTATTTTCCTCCCTCTATACCTAAAGAGAATAAAACCCAATGTTAACTGTAATTATACCTGTTTTTATGCTCAGATGTCATACTGTCATTAGACAAAGCATTATACCCTGATTCTTTGCATAAAACTTACAATTGTTCTTGCCATCTATTTTCCCTGTATGAAATATATCTTAATAATATTGTTTTATTACTCACATTTCTTGGGAACAACTTTTCTTCTTTTGATGTTTCTATTAAGAGTCCCACATTAGATGACATATGACATGAAAATGAGTTTATAAGTAGAAGAGACAATCCTTCATCTTACGAGAGCTGGTTTTGTAGGTTGACTTAGACCCATCCAAAATGTGCCGTCCCTCACTTTATAAATTGGTTTTGTAAGGATGAGATAGAGCCTTATGATCCGAGCCACCCACCAAGCCCAATAGTATTGTCCCGAGCCACCCACTAAGCTCAATAGTATTGATCCGAGCTACCCATCCAAGTCCAACATTGACAAGAGACAAGGGCCTGAAAATATTTTATAATGAGAAGTATCCCTCACTTTTCAAGCAGGGTATGTAGTTAATAGTTATGAGTCAGACCTATTATAAAAACCTAATATTTCTAACTATTGTTGCACGTGATACTTTTGGTTGTTCTGCCACTATCTTATGTGGCTTCTGTTGTTAACCCTTCTACCATATTTTCACTAGGCAACTTGCAACATCTGCTGCTGGTGTTCCTCTATTTGAGTTTTTTCTTACAATGGATAAAAAAGGTGACTTCAAGTCGCAGGTATCTCTTCTTGACTGATCCTAAAACTTGTAAATTTTTTGTGTGTAGGGTAGTTGCATAAAGAAAACTCATTGCACTGAAGATGGATTCTCTATTCCCATTCAAAATTATGCTATCTGAATATATGTGTGCTATGGATTATCTTTCATGCTGATAGTTAAGCAAATTTTCTGATAGTTATTCTATGTGTGCTAAGGATCATCTTTCATGCTGATAGTTAAGCAAATTTTCTGATAGTTATTCTGGTTAGAAAACTCAAGTTTAACTTTAATCATGTGCAAGTCGGCTGAGGAACTGGGATTGCATGCAATAATTAACTGCATTACTTGTAGCTCACAATCCACTAAATTACAAATTTTCAGCGTTTCATTCGCTAATTTCTATCAATACTAGCATAAAGTTTATAGTCTGCTCATATATTTGATTTTTTAAGACAATCTAGTATACCAGCCAATTTGCACTGTAGATGCTGAGTTGGATTTTAAAAATGTGGTAATGGAGGAAAAATGCAGATTCAAACATACATGAGCAATTTTATTTCCCAGTGTTAATATGGAGGTTCACATTGTCTCTAAATTTTGACTAAGAAGCACGACCTCAGAATCTATAAATTAAGTTTATTTTGGGTAATAATGTCATATTTCTCAGAAATGTATGACTTCAGTTGTGGGCCTCATTTTATTTCTTTTAGATTCATGCCTAGTTCCCCTAAAAAATACTCCCTCCGTTTCAAAATGACTGTTGTTTTAGCAAATAAAATTTGTTTCAAATTGACTGTCATTCTCACTTTTCAATGTAGCAATGATTACTATTTTTCCAATTGTGTCCTTTAATTATTATTCTTTACACTACTTCCAATACATTAATAAGGTTAATTTAGTAAAAATGTAATGTTTTAAGACAACATTATTGCATTCATTAAACTGTGTGCCAAAACCTTAAACGACAGTAATTTTGAAACGGAGAGAGTAAATACTAAGGAGGCCCTCTCAATGGGGAATGCCAACCTTTCTCTCCATGTGTTTAGTTTGGCTTTAAACCAAACTTTTGTGGTTTTAAGTTTTGCTTATATGCAGCTGAGTTTACTACTTTTAAAGTAAAATAACTATTATAATAACTTTTTAAAAAGTTTATAATATTAATAACAATAATATATAACTCAGTCTCAATCTAGTATTATTTTCATTTTCAGGCTGTGTATCTAAAGCGAAAAGGGTCCTACCGAGGCCCCCCAACAATGTCCTCTAAAACATCGGATGCTAGTGAGCTGTTTGTTGTGAGTACTGAAGATTCAGAAAGTGGTGATGATAGGAGTGATGGCTCTGACCCTTCTGAGAGAATGCCTACATTTCAGAATGTCTTGAAAGATATGATTCCTGGTAAGGTGAAGATTTTCAAAGTGATAACTCCAGGCAAAGTTGACAAGGATCTAATATCTAAGGTGATAGAGGAATTAAATGAGGAAGATGAAAGTGGGGATGAAAATGAAGATGGAGAAGATGACAGTGATGAAGATGACAATGAAGAGGAAGAGGAAGAGGAAGAGGAAGAGGAAGAGGAAGAGGAAGAGGAAGAGGATGAGGATGAGGATGATGGAGATGGAGATGGAGATGGAGATGGAGATGGAGATGGAGATGGAGATGAAGATGAAGATGAAGATGAAGAGAAGGAAAATGATACAGTAACTCTGGAACTGGAAGACATTATATTGGAAACTGATCAAGAGGGAGATGATGAGAACAAGATAAATGCCGATCTGGGAACTTTTGAACGTGAAGAACAGAATGAAATTGCTGTCAAAGTTGTCATTGGTGGTCTTATGCAGAAACTTTCCAGCAATTTATCCCCTAGAGATTTGCTTCGAGTTCCTGCTAAGTTGGAGACGAAGGAGCGTGGTTTATTTTCCTTTACTGTTGAAAATGTAGTCAATCAGCAGGATGGTCATGACAAAGGGAAATCTTCATCAGATAAATCGATTAAGTTTCAAAGTCGTCGCAGAGTTGATCATGTTATTTCTGACATTGCTAAGTTTATTGGCAAGGAAAATGTACCTGCAAAGGTAGGCTAAGTAATCAAATAAAATATGCAAATCAGTTTTTGGCAAAATTCACTATAAGTTGCTTTGACTATAACGCATTGGTTCAATCTTATAGGTGCTGAAAGAGGTAGGAGAATTAATAAGTCTCACTATAAGTCAGGCTCAGAATCATCAACCATTATCCGGGTCTACGATTTTCAATCGCATTGAAATACCAACTTCATTTGATCCTCTAAACGGTGATTTTCTAGTGTTTTTGTCATTTCATTATTTTGACGTGCTTATTATTGACTGCTGACAGTAGAATGTTTGTGTTGTTGGAATCTATATGTATTGTTAACCAAGTGACAAATATTTCCATTTTCAATCAGGCTTATATATTGGAACATATGGTCTTTATTCCTCTGAAGTTATTCAAATGAGACAGAGATATGGTCAATGGCAAGAAGATGGTAGGGTGAAAGAGACTTCAGATCTTGAGTTTTATGAGTATGTAGAGGCCTTGAAACTAACCGGGGGTCCTTATGTACCAGCTGGCCAGGTAATATCATAAATTTTATTTTATTGACCTCCAATATAGTTCTTTTTAATTTCCTTCCTTCATCATTCTGTTATGTTGGTTTTTGTCTATGCAATCCATCTGGGAGAGAAAGAGAGCTGGAGAGGGGTGCACTGTTTGATTATGTTAACAAAAGTTGGAGGATGTTGGTGCTGATAAGTGGGAAATATCCGTGAGTTGTAAACCATGATAGCAATGGTTTTTCTATGCCAGTTGTCATTATCAAGATTACTGGATTCATCTTTTTATTTATTAATTTGATAACATTTATTAAAAATAATAACTAATAATGTTCAAATAAATTTAAAGTTAGTAAATGCTTTTTAAATTCAAATCATAATTGTTACATAAGCTAAATATTTTTGAACATTATCTTTTGCAATGAATTGAAAATATCGATAACTTAATTGATACATATATAGAAACAAGGGTCCCTTTAATATAGACTCGGTGAAAAGGGTTTGAAAGGCGAACTCATGCGTCGTACTACAGATATGGCATTTCCAAGATACTCAATTTCACCTTTTTCCCCAAATATGGAACTAGGGTTTACAGTGTAAATGTTTCAATTTCTGATGCCCCAATTCTAAAATGCACAAATATTTAAAAATAATTAAAACTGGAAGCATCTCTGTCCATATTAGAGGCTCCCTAGATACAGTTGTATACAATTTTGAAGTACTTAGAAGACATGTACTGAGAGAACCAATAGACCTATCATGTACCCACACTGCAAATTGGCGACTTAGGCCATTCTTTGTATGGTATGAAGAGGTTATGATTTTTTAAACAGCTTCATACTCATCTTATATATGAGAAGATCTCGGGAACTGCCTTTATTCAAATGTTATCTCAGAGATTTTTGTATTTGAGGTGTTGTGTGCTGCTGAGCTTGAAACAGCTCATGTAGAAAATATACAAGGAAGAAAATGGAACTTCCGTACTTCCTGTTAGTCATCATGTATTTTCTAGCACTGAAATGATGTTTTTAGAAGTAATTCAGGGTAGCAAGGCTGGTGATGTGCTCGTTGGAAGTTGATTGACAATTTTGATTGCTGTCAAACTGGCAATTGTTGTAGGCATTGTGTAGGAAGTAGCACATATATTGGCTGAGTGTTTCCCATACATAATTTGTGGGTGTTCTATGAATTTAGTATATTATGCGATTATATTATATTTAAAAGCTTCATAATGGAATAATAACTATTGTAATATGGTTGATACTTTATTGCATGTTCTGCTGCCCAATTAGTTTCACATTTTAAACTTTGAAAACTAACATTATTGTTCTTTTTTGTTATATGATAACCAAAACTTCAAGCTTGTTACAAGGCGGAGAAAGATTCTCAATGTGTTATGTTAGAAACGAATAGTTATGTTGGAGTAACTGTATGGTTACTATGATTTTCTTTTTCATTTTTTGGTCTTTTTAGTCTTTTATTATGGAAAAGAGTGATTGAACGAAGACTAAGAAAAGAGACTCAAGTCATTGAGAATCAATTTGGTTTTATACCTGGAAGGTTGACCATAGAAGCGATTTATCTACTACGACGTGTGGAGCAGTATCAGATGGATCAACAAGACTTGCATTTAATTTTTATTGATTTGGAGGAGTCTGATACAGTGTCTAGAGTGGTTTTGTGGAAAATCCTAGAGAAGAAAGGGATTAGGATCACATATGTTCGAGCTATCCAAGATATGTATGCAGGGGTATCGACTAGTGTGTGGACACATGATGGAGAGATAAACGATTTCTTCATTACAATAGATTTGCATCAACGTTCAACTCTAAGCCCCTAACTTTTCACCTTCATTTTGGATGTACTCACATGACACATCCAAGAGTTAGTACCGAGATACATGTTTTTTGTAGATGATATAGTCCTACTTGGAGAGTTGAAGAAAAATTGAAATGAGATTGAAGACGAGATTTAGAAACACATGGTTTTCGCCTAAACAGAAGTAAGACAAAGTATATGAAATATAAGTTCAACTTTCGACAGATGATGATGATGATGATGATGATGATGATGATGATGATGATTATTATTATTGTTATTGTTATTGTTATTGTTATTGTTATTGTTATTGTTATTGTTATTGTTATTATTATTATTATTATTATTATTATTATTATTATTATTATTATTATTATTATTAAGAAGGAGATCATTAAGTTTTAATATCTTTATTTATACCAACTATTGCTGAAGAATAAAGTAGAACATTATTCCCTATTTTCTAAGATGGTATCAAAGATTGGTTCAAGATCCGGTGAGCTATCTGCTATCAGGTTTTTGCTATCGGTTCACATACTATTTATATCGACGCACCAAGCCTAGTCAAACGCATTTATTGTGAATAATTTACATTCATAGAATAGGAAATTAGTTATTATGAGTTGTAAGTAGTCATTATGAATTGTAATTACCTGTAATTACCGACACTATTATATATAGTATCAAATGCAATGAGAAAGGTATCAAGCCAGAATTTGTGATATGGTATCAGAAGGTTCGATCTAACCTGTGAATCCTTGTTCTCTTGGCTGAATAGTGACACCTCACTGGGTCGCTTTTGAAATCGTGTTTCTTGTTTGTATTTCTCGAAATCGTGTTTCTCAATTGAAATCTTTCAATTGCCGTTTCGTGATTTCTTCATTGTTGTTGTTTCGTGATCTTGATTTTGTATTTATCGCAAGTTGTTTCGGTGATCGTTAATCAATTGGTGCTGCTAGCATACTCTGATTTGCGATTCTGTTTCTCGGCAATTCTACTTCTCGGCGATTCTGCTTGGTGATCGTTATTCTTGGTGATTCTGTTCGGTGATCGTGGTTTCATTGTTGGATTGTTGGCGATTCTCGATTGTGGTTTCATTGTTGTCTTGTTGGTGTTTCTCGATTGTGATTTCATTGTTGATATTTCTCGATCGTGCGTGTTTCTTCACCGTTCGTTGGCTACTAAGTGGGGTTTCCTGGGGTTACAATATTATGGCTATGGAAATGAAAAGAATTTTTGTGTCCGTTTTACCGGCAAAAATTATTCTGCATGGGAATTTCAGTTCAAGATGTATGTTAAAGGAAAGGGATTATGGAGTCATCTAGATGATGTTTCTAAGGCACCGACGGAGAAAACTGCTTTAGATGCGTGAGAAACTAAAGATGCTTAAATCATCACTTGGATTCTCAACAGTATTGATCCTCAGATGATCAATAATTTACGCTCTTTTCAACTGCTCAAGAAATGTGGAATTATTTGAAGCGCATTTACAACCAGAACAATTCAGCAAAACGTTTTCAGTTGGAGTTAGAAATAGCCAACTACAAATAAGGTGATTTGTCTATTCAAGAATATTATTCTGGTTTTTTAAATCTCTGGGCAGAACACTCTGCTATTATACATGTTAATATTCTCAAGACCTCTCTCGCGGTTATTCAAGAGGTTTACAACACAAGTGGACGAGATCAATTTCTCATGAAATTACGTCCAGAATTTGAAGTTGTCAGAGGTGCCTTGCTGAATAGGAATCCCGTTCCTTCTTTAGATACATGTGTTGGAGAACTTCTAAGGGAGGAACAACGTCTTATTACTCAATGAGTCATGTCTCATGATGCTACCATTTCCGAGCCCGTGACGGTTGCATATGCTGCTCAAAGTGAAGGTAAAAGTTGTGATATGAGACAGGTTCAATGCTTTTCTTGCAAACAATTTGGTCATATTGCTCGTAGCTGCAATAAGAAGTTTTGTAATTACTGCAAGCAACAGGGTCATATTATCTCTGGGTGTCCCACACGTCCTCCACGACCAACACAACGTTCAGCACAAGCATTCCATGCAACTACAAATCATGTGGTCGGTCCTTCCACTAATGGCACATCAAACAATAGTGCTATACAACCTGAATTGATTTAACAAATGGTACTTTCCGCTCTTTCGGCCTTGAGAATTCAGGGTAAGTCTTCTAATGTTTCTCGCCCATGATTTCTTGGTTCGGGTGCATCCAATCACATGACAGGTTCTTCAGAGTATTTGCACAATTTACACTCTTATCATGGTAATCAGAAAATTCAAATAGCTGATGGTAATACTTTATCTATTACTGATATTGGCGACATAAATTCTGATTTTCGGGACGTGCTTGTATCGCCTGGACTTGCATCTAATTTATTATCTGTTGGTCAATTGGTAGATAAAAATTATGATGTTAATTTTTCTCGTGATGGTTGTCTTGTGCAGGAGCAGTTATCGGGGAAGGTGATCGCGAAGGGGCCTAAAGTGGGAAGACTGTTTCCACTCCAGTTTATTTCTAATCATATATCTCTTGCTTGTAATAATGTTTAAAACTCTTATGAGGATTGGCATAGAAAATTAGGTCATCCAAATTCTGCTGTTTTGTCCCATTTATTTAAAAATGGTTTGTTGGGAAATAAAAATGTTTCTAATGCCTCTATTTCATGTTCTGTTTGCAAATTAGCTAAGAGTAAAACAATTCCTTTTTCGTCTGGTGCTTATGGTGCTTCCACTTGTTTTGAAATGATTCATAGTGATGTATGTGGTATGTCTCCTGTAGTTTCTCATTCTTACTATAAATATTTTGTCACATTTATTGATGATTATAGTCGTTTTGTTTAGATATATTTCCTTCGGTCTAAATCCGAAGTGTTTTCTATGTTTAAGAAATTTCTGACATATGTTGAAACTCAATTTCAAGCAAGTGTGAAAATTTTTCGCTCTGACTCTGGTGGTGAGTACATGACACGTTCCAGAAATACCTTCAACAAAAAGGCATCTTGTCGCAACGATCTTGTCCCAATACTCCTCAACAAAATTGTATGGCAGAACGTAAGAATCGTCATTTGCTTGATGTAACACGCACATTGCTTCTCTAAGCTTCTGTACCATCCCGATTTTGGGTAGAGACTCTTTCCACAACTGTCTTCTTGATCAATCGTCTTTCTTCTACGGTTATTAAACTTGATTCTCCTTTCTTTCGTCTTTTTAAAATTCATCCTAATTATAGTGCTTTACATACTTTTGTGTGTGTAATTTTGTTCACTTACCTCCTTTTGAAAGGCATAAGCTTGGAGCACAATCCGTTCAATGTACATTTATGGGATATAGTCACTCTCATAAGGGATTCGTGTGTTATGATGTCACTAACCATCGTTTTCGTATTTCTAGAAATGTGACATTTTTTGATAATCAGTTTATGTTTCCCTGTGTTTCTCCTGCCATTAATGATATTGTTACTCTTCCTAAGTTTTCTATTATGCCTCAATGTATAGAACGTTATAAACCAGGTCATGTATATGTCAGAAAACACAGGCAACAGGTTCCCACACCCCCTTCCCGACACTGAACCGCCACCTGATCCTGTACCGGCTAACCCACGCGTTCTGGTTGAATATATCGTGCACCAGATAGATATTCACCAGACAGGTATGATTCCTCACATACTTCTCTGACTGCCACGCTCTCTAGCATATCTATCCTACTTGTTTGTTACTCACAGGCTGTTAAGGAGGTGCGATGGATAAAAGCAATGAATGAAGAGCTTTAAGCTCTTCAAGAGAATTTCACGTGGGATATTGTCTCTTGCCCTCCTGATGTAAAACCTATAGGTTGCAAACGGGTGTATTCTGTGAAAAATTAAATTATGACGGGTCTCTCAACCGTTACAAGGCTCGTTTGGTTGCATTAGAAAACAAGCAGGAATATGAAATTGATTATGATGAGACATTTGCACCAGTTGCCAAAATGACAAATGTCCGCACGATCATCTCTATAGCTGCTTCTAATGGGTGGACTCTACATCAAATGGATGTGAAGAATGCTTTTCTTCATGGTGACCTGACAGAAGATATTTATATGACTCCACCTCAAGGCTTATTCTCTTCATCTAAAGGTGTGTGTAAGCTCAAACGCTCCTTATATGGTTTGAAACAGGCACCTAGAGCATGGTACGAGAAATTCCGCTCCACTCTACTTGGATTCTCCTTTACTCAGAGTCAGTATGATTCATCTTTATTTATTCATAGCACATCTGCGGGTATTGTTCTGCTTCTTTTGTATGTTGATGATATGGTTATTACTGGTTCGGATCCTGCTTCCATTCAGGGACTTAAGCTACAATTACAAGCCTCATTTCACATGAAAGATCTGGATAATCTACATTATTTTCTTGGTCTTGAGGTTCATTCTACATCCAAGGGCATCTTTCTCAATCAACACAAGTATGCTACAGATTTCATTTCTATGGCCGGTCTCGAATCGGCTAATCCGGTAGATACTCCTGTTGAGGTTAATGTTAAATATCATCATGATGATGGTGATCTTTTGCCTGATCCCTTATTGTATCGACAACTTGTGGGTAGCCTCAACTACTTGACTATTACTCGCCCTGACATATCTTTTGTTGTTCTCCTCGCCATCTTCACTTGGCTGCGGTTCGTCGGATAATTCGCTACTTAAAGGGAATCTCTCACTGCGGATTATTCTTTTCCGTTGGAATTTCTCTTCAGTTGAGTGCTTATAGTGATGCTGATTGGGCAGGGTGTCCTGATATTCGTCGATTTGTTACCAGTTGGTGCATGTTTCTTGGTTCTTCATTGATCTCTTAGAAAAGTAAGAAGCAAGCAAGAGTTTCTAAATCTTCTACTGAATCAGAGTATCGTGCCATGTCTGCTGCTTGTTCAGAAATACTTTGGCTTCGTGGTCTGTTGACTGAACTTGGATTTTTCCAAACAGAGCCAACTTCCCTTTATGCTGACAATACAAGTGTCATTCACATTGTTGCAAATCTTGTTTTTCATGAACGCACCAAACATATCGAAGTTGATTGTCATTCAATACGTGACGCCTACGATGATCGAATAATATCACTTCCTCACGTCAGTACTCAGTTGTAGGTTGCAAATATTCTTACCAAGGCTGTTCACGCCTACATCAGTTTCTTGTTAGCAAATTGATGCTCCTTGACCAGCCGCATCAATTTGAGGGGGGATGTTAATCAGGAAATAGTCAAACACATTTATTGTGAATAATTTACATTCATAGAATAGGAAATTAGTTATTATGTGTTGTAATTAGTCATTATGAATTGTAATTACCTGTAATTACCGACACTATTATATATAGTATCAAATGCAATGAGAAAGACATCAAACCAGAATTTGTGACAAGGAGGTGTGTTAAGAGTCTCACATCAGACAATATATAGTTTGAACATATCTTTCTAAGTGGGGGCGGTACAGTACTTGCCTTAAAATCCGGTTTTGTAAAGTTGTGTTAGGTTCAACCCAAAATTTTAAGAAGTTACTTCTTCAGAAACAGACATGACATGGTTTTTTACCAAGTTCAATGGAAACCAAGATATTTCTTGTATTTGTGTGTGAAACTTGTAGTCTCTTTTTGAAGCTGATTTTTGCATTATGCATTACTCATCATAAATCTCATTAATCATGTTCTTTGATCCCCTTAGGTAGCATTTCGTGCAAAAGTTGGAAAGATGTATCAACTTCCACATAAAGGGATAATTCCTGAAGAATTTGGAGTGGTATGGAATTATTTTATATTTTATATTGTAGGGGTTCCCATTTTAGTTTCATTGCTTTCTCCAATCTTTACTCCCTCCAAAACCTTAATTGAATTGGCATCAATTCACAATAAATAATAGGAAATTATTATTGTTCTGCATCTTATCTGATGTTATAAATATTTCAGATTGCTCGCTATAAAGGTGAAGGAAGATTGGCTGAGCCAGGGTTTCAGAATCCTCGGTGGGTTGATGGTGAACTTGTAATTCTTGATGGAAAGGTTTGTGTGTTCCACCCTGGTCTAGTTATTTAGCCTTCGCTATTGTAATTCCAGCTTACTTTTGTGCAATTTTTTATAGTTGCATCTTGCCATTTGTTGATTTTTGCAGCACATAAAAGCAGGGCCTGTTGTTGGATTTGTGTATTGGGCTCCAGAGTATCATTTTTTGGTCTTCTTTAATCGGCTTAGGCTTCAGCAGTAGGATTTCGTTGTTCATACTATCAAAAACTTTGTAAATTCTTTCTTCAGACTTTAGCGTAAGTTCTCTTTATAAAGGCCTTTTTAGCTTAACCGGCCAGCTCATCTATTCATTTTATATATTTTACGTATGATATAATAATTTTGCCAAAGGCTCGGATACATTGAAACCTATAACGGCCCTAATTCAATCCATGTATGAGCATGTAAGGTGAAGGTGGGTGTTTTAATAACATGACCAAGGCAACTTAGTGCAAATCCTAGCATAACCTATTTCCTTCTCTAATTTTAATGGCTTTATTTTACTGTTTAGCACATAGTTTCCTAAAATGGATAGTTATGATTCTTGGCTCCGATGGCCCTTTAAAATGGCCAAATGGGTTTGTTTCAAAATAATAGACGTGACTTGAGCTGGTTTATGTGAACCAGCTATTTGTCCATAAGGTATTGGTTTATTGGCTAGAACCGGACCAATATAACCTTAAGGGTAGGAGTTCAAATCCCCCATGAATATTTGTAAAATGACCGTAGTGCCACTTTAATTAACTCCCCCCTTCCCCAACTTTTTTTTAATCTTATTTACTTCTCTGCTTTTCTCCACAAATTCCTTTTTTGCTGTAGTGTATGTTTGATTGAGTGTTTTCAACTCCATTCCCGCATCCCAATGGCTAATTTAATGTGATTTCAAGAAGCTCCAAGTGCTAGCTTCTGCATTTATGTTAAAACTAAACGTGATTTCAGCAAACGGGACACAATCCTGAACATATTAAGCTTAGAATTTGGTGAAAATGTTTTTACGTGCATTAAGCTTGTTATATTGTTCATTTAGTACTTGATTTGTCATGTAATTGGATGTTTCATGTCATAGTATTAATTTGTGTATGGACTCGTCTGGTTGCTCGAACGAAAACTATTGAACAGGTTTGATGAGAAGCAAAGGAAAGAAACTTTAAAAAGGAAACATGAGAGGAAGTGATTATATATTAAGAATAGAAGGGATCTATAGTTTGCCTGGCCTGTACTGTATCCCAAACTTATGGTTGAACCTCCTCATTATGCGGTCTCAAAGTATTAATCTTAATGAAACCTTTTAGTAAAGAAAGCAGATTCATTTATAAGCAACATAAGTTTTTCTTCCTGTTGTTATTAAGTGATAAGGTTTTCTATCTGTTCTGAATTTTGTTTTTGTTTTAAGTTCAATTGTCATGAAGTGTCTCTACTTTTCCAATTAGTTCAATTGTCATGGTTGTTGCTTTTTTCTGTTGGTTCCAGGTGTCAAGGAATGCTAAAATTGTGCTTCAGAGGAAGTTATTATCCATCGCGGCAGGCTTTCCCGTTTAAGGTATTCAGTGAGTGTTTAATTTTTAAGTTTAGTAATTTTACGCAGACAATGTAAACAAGTTTTATAGACCCCTAATCTTATTTTACTATCCTGTCTCACCATAATATTACCTTTTAAAATCTGTTTATATTGAGACATGATAGTAAAATATGATCGAGTGTTTTGGTAATACTTGCTTACCCTGGTAGCGCTTATGAATTAAATCCTTTATTTTAAATATGTAGGGGCTGCTTTATGTTTTTAAATAGACATTTTCCTCTGATGTTTACTTTTTATGTCTGTCTCTCTTATGCAGTGTAAAATAGCTTTCTGCCAAGCAGCATAGATTTTGAGCACTGGGCTGCTTGTGTAGTCGTAACTCAACTTATTGGATTATCTTAAGCTTGATTGTCATAGCTTGACTAATCATCATGAAGGGGGGTTCATAAATCAGCACTAAAGCAATGTACTTGTTTTTCATTTCACGTATTGTAGAGCTGTAGTGTTCACATGGCATTCTTCATCATGGTATCCTTCATCAATTTGTATAGTGGTCCAATTTTTTCTTATATGTTATATTCCCATGTTTCATAGCTACATAATCATGCTTAGTCTAATGTGTTCAGGGTTTCATTGTTCATTCTGTTAAGATGAATGAAATAAGTTCATTACAAGTGGCATTATTTATTTTCCCACTTTGGACTGTACTCAGGTATTTTTAGCACATCCTCATTCAATCTTTATACGGTCCCAGAAGGGTCTTGCCAAAATTTTAATGATTAGTGGTACATGAAGAAACTATACTGTTGCGCCTCTTGTCAATTCTTGCACTACCGTCAATGAGTGAACTTGGGAGTGGATGCCCAGCTTGCTTAAGCCTTGTATGGAATTTATTGAAAATGTGGTTGTAGACAAGAAGTATATTTCATTTTAATTTTTTTAGAATTACAAGAAAATCATTCCACCGTTTTTTTTTTGTTCCCACCATATTCTTGTTTTTCTATTTCCGTATTACTTTTGCCGGAAGCAGCTGGCACCACCAGCACTTCCTGTGATCTAGTTGAACATCACAAGGTTCGTAAGTCAATGTACTTTGATTTACTTGTGCTATTTTTAAGGTAAACATCATGTTGGCTATTTGGTTTTAAATAAAAGGAGTTTGCTTTAATTTTGGGATAAATTTTACCGTCTCAATTAATTTACAAGTGAGCAAAATCTATTCAGAAAGGAAAAAAAATAACTCTAATTAAAGAAGTTTTCACAGTGGGTTTGGTTGAGTTTTAAAATGCAAGTATAACATGATTTTTTATTGTATGTTATGGTTCTGCAGCAGGGTGAAGGAGAAGATGATGAACTTAATTTACTTGTTCATAATGGTGAATTATTAAAATTACCATTGGTTTAAAATAAATAAATTCAATGGTTATGATTGATTGTGGGTAACCTACTATTCAAGAAACAAATATTTATAATTATACCTTAACATATTTTTAAATATATATAATTAAAAAACATATACATATTATGTTGTATGAAAAAACAATTTTAATTTTTCATTTAAAAATGTTGATAAATTTTTTCGTGTATTAGAAAGCATATACATTAAATGTTGTATGAAAAAACATATACATACAAGAAAAAACTGAATAATACTATGTTTTACATAAATTTATAAAAAAAATGTATTTTTTATTCAATCACTAATTAAAACCAATTACTGTTCTTTGTTTGATAATTTAGTAGGGTATGAAAAAACATATACATATTGGTTAAATCGAATAATATCTCGTTTGACATAAATTTATAAAAAAAGAATTTTATTAAAAAATTCCAAAAGTATTTTTATAAAAATTTCAAAAAATTATAAATGGGGAAACTAGATAAAAATTAATTGTTCAATTACAATAGAAATTAAGCTACCGAATTATAAATATAGATGGAGTCAACCATGACTAAGTTTATTCAAAACATCATAGCAGAGATGGGCTTTATTTACCATACTACTAGTTGACCTCACTAGGCACGCAAACATCGAGTGCACTCGCAGAGTCGCAGTAAAATAATATTTAATACTTTTAATTTTGTTTTTACTTTTGATCTGACCTGATCAGAAGGTTTGGACCGTCACGGCTTACTCCGAGCTGAAGGCTTTTTGAACGAGGAGGGGGGGGGGTACCTGCAAGGCACTCCGATGCTTAAGTCAGTGGGAGTACGAGCAGATAATAGAGTTGAGGTTAGAATGATGAATACCTGACCCTCTGGAAACAGAGGGTATTTATAGCCCCCAGCGCTGGGCCAAGGTTCCTTCATTGGGCCGGGCGGATTTGGCCCAATGGAGGAACTGCCAGGTTCTACGTGGGTAGTGGGGACCAGCACGTGGTCCCCTTCCTGGATGTGCTGCGTGAAGTGCGGGCGGACAGAGACGCGGTCTTTCCGGAGTATCGTTGGGGTAACGGTGGACTGAGTCTGTCCTAGCCAGGTAGCTCGAGATCATGTCGAGCTGCGCTGCACGGTGCCGAGCTCGACGCCAAGACCTCGGGCTGAACAGCGAGTGTCGAGCTGGACGTCAGGACACAGAGTCGGACGGCAGGGTGTCGAGCATGACTTCACTGCGTGGGGCTGGACATTGAGATGTCGAGGTGGACATCAGGGTGTCGGGCATGGACGCGACCCCCTTCGCCCAGTGTGGTCCTTAGTGAGTCCCTTTGGATTGGGCCTTGGTAATGCTTTTTGGCCTGTCGGGCCCAGTCCAGAACAGGAGCCCCCCAAGTCGTGGTTCCTTTGCGAGGAGCCATGACTTGAAACAGTTGTTCCGTCGCTGAGGTCTCGTGCCCGGGATGGAGGCGTGGACCCTCGAGGGGTCTCCTCGTGCCGTGCTCGGAGACGTCCTCGGTGGTGGATGCGTGGAGGATCCGTACCGGGCGCGTCAGTCGAGCACACGAGGCATCTTTCGGGAGTTGTGCCGCCACCCTAGGGGGTAGGGCCATCATTGCGTTGGGAGCAGTGCGTCGAGGAGATGGAGTCCGTGGCTGAACGAGGTGACGTTTGGTATTCCATGTCATCACTATAAATAGGGTCCTTGGGCCCCATAATACGTTTTCCGTTCTCCGTGCTCTCTCCGTTGCCGCTCTCAACCCTCTCTCCAGTTGTGACTTCCCGTCTCAGATTCTTCATTTCTTAGCCAAATCCCAACTTTGATCCAAGTAAGTGATCTACTTTCTTCATTTTTCCGTTTTAGAATGCATGATTCCTGGAATTTGTAGATGTTTTAGGATCGTGCGTGTGGGATTAGCCCGGTAGATTCGCGTTTTGCCCGACATATTCATGTCTAGGACCGGCAAACGCATACTCATGGCCGACACATTCATAGTTTTAGGTGAAAAACTTCAGAGCTGCCCGTGGTCTTCATGATCCGGGCGCCTAATTCATGACCGTGCCCGGTATGTTCATGGTCGTGGCCGTGGGCTTCATAGTGCGGCTCGCCATGTTCATACCTCGGGTCGACATGCTTGAAGAATGGCTGCGCAGTTGGTTTGAGGAAGAACACTGGGTTCAGGAGAGTCGGGGAGGCATCCACTTGTGAAAATGGACTTGTGTAGTAGCGTATGGACGACATGATTATGTCGAGCATAGTACTTCATGCTCAATCTGATTGGTTTCCCGTGCTCTGCAGGTAACCATGG